TATATATGGGGTTTTTTTTCTAATAAAGGTGTTTTATTAAGTGGTCATACTCAGCAAAAAACACTAGCAAGTTCTACAACCTCAAAGACATGAAAACATAGCAAGACTGAAGAGGCTGGCATTAGGCAGAGAGTAGCATAGAAACATTTTTAAACGACAAAAAAGCACTGGAGAAATAATTTGCTTAAAAGCTTCTTCACAATAATAGGTCTGAAGATGGGGGGATGCAAAGTATTACTTTATTAAGATCCTGATTAACTGCAAATTGCCACTGTGATTAATGCAGCAACTTGTTAGTTTAGAAAAAGTGAGAATACATTAGCTGAAAGATGTAGTATCTCAGATTCAACAGTCAAAGGTTGCACCGTACATTTGTGAAGGACTGTTGACTCCCTACCGCAGCCAAAGGAGAACTTCACCATAGATCTGACTGTAGTTACACTGAACAGGATACTGGCATCCTGTGTATTAAGTCTTTAAACATCATTCTCTTCAAATAGCAAATGACTTGGGGGGAAGAGAGGAGGAAAAACAAGCTGGGAAAAGCCATTATAAGCAAACCACTTTTCAGGTGGCTATAAAAGCCATGCCTTCAGCTTCATAATCATGTAAGGCACCCTGGGAAAAAAGCAAGCACAGATGAAGCACCAGCAGCCAAGCAGAAGGGTCCCTGAGCTAACCTGGCTTCACAGGTTAGGTGGCAATGCATTTGTTAATACTGAGAGCAGAAAGGACTGGTCTAGAAAAATCCAAGTACCAGCTGCTAATAGAAAGACATGCCAAGTTACTAAGGGACAGTGCCTGGTACATGAGTCTCTCTTTTCCTGTGCCAAATTAGGCATATTAGCCAGATCCCAGCCTTTTCAAGAAGATACTGTTGGACTGAGACTTATCTTTACCTTCCACAAGTTAGTGAGATGAAAAATAACAAGATCAAATTTTGCCCTAGGTTATTTTATCCAGCATGGGGGGTGTGGGTGGAAATCAACTGTGTTTTACAGCTTTCTTACAGTACTGTCCTTCCTGACTCAGCCTACTAATGAAGCAACTTGAGATGCCATTACCCATTTCACATACTATCATTTTACCATTAAAAAGGATTTAAAATACGTTTTCTGAATGAAGTCAGCCACACAAACCGTAAGAAAATGTGTCTCTTCGCGCTGTTAACACCGAGACTCAGGTATGGCAACTCTCCTCTTCTATATGTATCGCAACTGCACTCCTACACTTATTCCAGTATTTCCAGTTAAGAACAGTCTGCTTTCCAGCACCAGCAACTAAAAGTGGAGTAAGACAGGCATCTGGGCCTCTGTTTAAAGTCTTGGAATGAATGGGAGTCAGTTGATTTAAAAAAAAAATCTACACTAAAACAAATAAATAAAAAAAAAAACCCAACCACAAAACACACACTAAAGAAAATCCCCCAAAAGTGGAAGTTAATGATTTTATCTGAAAATATGTATTATGCATGATATTACTAAAAGCTATTTCAACAGCCTGCAGCTTACAGCACCACTGTACTTCGAAAGCAAACTTTCTCCAGCAGTCAAAGGCAGAATTAACCCAAATTTCATCACTACTGGACTATTTCAACCATAAGGATTGGTTCTTGTTTATGTGCCAAGGAAACATTGCTGGACCCTTGAATCAACCCTGCTAAACTGTCAGCATGGTCCCTCAGACCATTTCTGGCCTAGCCAGTTCATGCTCTCACAAATCCCCAGACAAGCTCCGGAGCAAAGACAACTGGAGGAATTATTTTCACAGGAAGCCTGGATATGACTATTCTGTCATGGAGGGTATGGGAGTTTACTACCACGAGTGCAGCCACAATTGTCAACTGGCCTCTGTGCCAAAAAACAGGTCCTGACTCAGTTTAGTGTAAAGGCGAGAGCACCCAGGATGGCAACACTTTCTCCTGCTTTAATAAGGGGAAAGTGGACCTTGCGGTCTGCTGAGCTCCACCAACCCACTGCACACACATCCTCCACACCTGGCAACCATTCATCCCTTCCTTGGGCATCCATCCTTCAGGAGAAAAGAAGCTCAGCATCTCAAGATGTGTGGATCATCTGTGATCGCCTGGGAGAAGTTTCACTTTTATTTGAAGAATGGTAAGGGCAGACCTCAATTGCTGACACAGATTACAACTGCACATGCTCCTTATCTCCCAACACAGAATCCCTCAGGAGCCATTCCTTAAAAAAGGTCTGACAGGGAAAAAGAGGAAGTGGGAGAAGACATGAGGCAAAAGGACTCTGGAAAATAAGGACCAATTCCACCTCTTTCCC